AACCTCTATTCTATTCTCCATAGTGACTATACTAATTTATGTTCCCACCAACAGTGTAGGAGAGTTCCTTTTTCTCCACATCCTCTCCAGTGTTTGTTACTTGTAAACAAACAAGTGTGAGTTTGTCTCAAAAAAAGAGTTTCCTTTCTAATGATGGTCATTCTGACCAGTGTGAGGTGGTACCTCATCGTAGTTTTGACTTGCATTTCTCTAATAATTAGTGATGTTGATCATCTTTTCATGTGCCTACTGGCCATCTGTATGTTTTCTTTGGAGAAATGTCTGTTAAGGCCTATTGCCCATTTTTCAGTTGAGTTGTTTGGGTTTTTTGTTGTTGTTGTTGTTGAGTTGTATGAGGTGTTTGTATATTTTGGAGATTAAGCTCTTAATTGGTTGCATTATTTGCAAATATTTCCTACCAGTCTTTTCATTTTGTTTATGGTTTCCTTTTCTGTGCAAAAGCTTGTAGGTTTGATTGGGTTCCATTTGTTTATTTTTGTTTTTATTTCTATTGCTTTGGGAGACTGACCTAAGAAAACATTGAATAATTTATGTCAGAGCACATTTTGCCTATTCTTTCTTCTTGGGATTTTATATTGTGATGTCTTATGTTGAAGTCTTTAAGCCATTTTGAGTTTATCTTTATGCATGATGTGAGGGTGTGTTCTAACTTCGTTGATTTACATGCAGCAGTCCAACTTTCTCAGCAACACTTGTTGAAGAAACTTTTTCCCATTTTATATTCTTGCCTCCTTTGTTGAAGATTAATTGACTGTAGGTGTGTGGTTTTATTCTGGGCTCTCCATTGATCTGTATGTGACAAGTGCCATTTGTAATGCCTCCCCCATCTCTCCTTCCTTCCTTCCTGCCTCCTCTGCTTGAACAGCCTCAATTCCTGGCCTTACTATAACCCACTTCCATTGTTTGCTGGTGAATGAACCCCCAGCTCGGAACTCTAGGCTTAAAAGCCATCCCCAGGCATAGAGTTTCCATGACATGTGTATGGGTGTATGCTTGTGTGTGTGTGTGTCTGTCTGTGTGTCTGTGTGTTGCCAGGGTGCACAAGCACTTTAGTAAGCACATTATTCAACTCCCCCATTTAGCAAAACTGAGTCCAGGATTAAATTCTGTGGGTCCTGAGTTTTCAGGAGGTGACATGCTACCTTTGGTATCAAATTTGATTAAACTTGATAACTTTAAATGGTTCTATTGGGGAGGGAGAATAAAATTTCTTACTCCCCAGAATGAATTTTTTCCACTGACTAAGGAATAGAACATTTATTAAAAGTATCTTAGTTACATGAAGGGGAGGAATGTACACCTTTTACCTCAGCAGAAGCAGGTCCATGGCATTATTAGCACGTGGTAAAATTGAATAATTGAGCAACACTGACTACTTTGGGATTCAGCCTTCCAGCCCCTGCTGTGTGATTAGTTCAGTCCAACCTGCTGGCATACTTGAGCAGGGAGCCTGCAGGGGATTAAGGAAAAACCCTTTAACAAATCTCAGGTACTAAAGACATTTGATTTAATTTAACATGTTACACATGGTAATCTGGTTTCCCTTGGCTACCTCCACCATACACTGCTTTATAATCAGAGGATGGCAGGGTAGATTACAGACTAGATGGCATCATCTGGAAGGGACCATAGAGAACAGAGGTCAAAAGAGGAAATGAAAAGTTCACTAAAAAAGGACAGAAGAGTCTGAGTCCTCTGAAAAAAAGGACGGATAGTTCTCTACAGTGCAGATACCCAAGAGGGTTTCATTGATGAGGGAGGTTCCAGGACTGCCTTCAGCAGAGCAGCCTGGGATGTGAAGGAAAAGGATCATATCTTGTAAATCTTTAAAGGAATAATAATTTTATTATTTGTGAATTACAGATAAGGTTTTAATTAAAAAATGACAATAATAGGTACCATTTATTAAGTACGTGCCAGAAACCTTTCTTGGTTCTTTGCATACATAATTTCATTAAATCCTTACAATATCTCTGCAAGGGTAATATTAATATCCCTTTAGAGATGAGGAAACAAGTATTTATTGATCTCTTAAAGTATGGAGACTGAAGAAAGGTGGGATAACATTGACTCCAAGGTTTCAACTTTAGGAGACCATTATTTATTTTTTCTATGATCTCAGAGTCCTAGAAGTCTTAATAGCCCCTGTTATAGAGCAGTATACCCACTAATGTCCATTAATGGTGACCTTTAGCCATCCAGAAAAGTTTAAATTACAGTCATCTTTAGTCTTGTCATTGTTCAGTTGCTTAGTCATGTCTGACTCTTTGCAACCCAATGGACTACAGCACGCCAGGCTTCCCTGTCCTTCACCATGTCCCGGAGCTTGCTCAAACTCATGTCTGTTGAGTCTGCCATCCAACCTCTGGCATCCCCTTCTCCTGCCTTCAATCTTTCCCAGCATCAGGGTCTTTTCCAGTGAGTTAGTTCTTCACATCAGGTGGCCAAAGTATTAGAGCTTCAGCTTCAGTCCTTCCAATCAATATTCAGGATTTATTTCCTTTAGGATTGACTGGTATTATCTCCTTGCAGTCCAAGGGACTCTCGAGAGTTTTCTCCAACATCACAGGTTCAAATGCATCTTCGGTGCTCAGTCTTCTTTATGGTCCAGCTCTCACATTCATACATGACTACTGGAAAAACCATAGCTTTGACCAGATGAACCTTTGTCAGCAAAGTAATGTCTCTGCTTTATGTTGTCTAGGTTTGTCATAGCTTTTCTTCCAAGGAGCAAGTGTCTTTTAATTTCATGGCTGCAGTCACCGTCTGCAGTGATTTTGGAGCCCAAGAAAATAAAGTCTCTCACTGTTTCCATTGTTTCCCCATCTATATGCCATGAAATGATGGGACTGGATTCCATGATCTTAGTTTTTTGAATGTTGAGTTCTAAGCCAGCTTTTCACTCTCCTCTTTCACCTTCATCAAAAAGCTCTTTAGTTCCTCTTCACTTTCTGCCACAAGGGTGGTGTCATCTGCATATCTGAGGTTGTTGATATTTCTCCTGGCAATCTTGATTCCTTGATTCCAGCTTGTGATTCATTCAGCCCAGCATTTTGCATGATGTACTCTGCATTGAAGTTAAATAAACAGGGTGTCAATATACAGCCTTGATGCCCTCCTTTCCCAACTTTGAACCAGTCTGTTTTTCCATGTTTAGTTCTAATTGTTGCTTCTTGACCTGCATACAGGTTTCGTGGGAGGCAGGTAAAGTGGTCTGGTATTTCCATCTCTTGAAGAATTTTCCATAGTTTGTTGTGATCCACAGTCAAAAGCTTTAGTGTAGTCAATGAAGCAGAAGTAGATGTTTTTCTGGAATTCTCTTGCTTTGTCTATGACCCAGCAGACATTGGTGATTTGATCTCTGGTTCCTCTGCCTTTTCTAAATCCATCTATCTTGTACCTCTGTAAGTTCTCAGTTCATGTATTATTGAAGCCTTGCTTGGAGGATTTTGAGCATGACCTTGCTGGCATGTGAAATGAGTGCAATTGTGCGGTAATTTGAGGATTCTTTGGAATTGCAGTGAAAACTTACCTCTTCAGTCCTGTGGCCACTGCTGAGTTTTCCAAATTTGCTGGTATCTTTGTCTAACTCTCTTATTTTACACACTAGGAAATTGAGTGCCAGACATCTGGTAAAGCCTAAAGCCAGGTCTTTCAACTCCTTAATTTGTATATTCCACCATCACCATACACTTTCAAAGAAGGCTTGAGTAAATGGAAGGCAGGAGGGAAGGGGTCTTGCAGCACTGTAAATGATACTAGTTTGAAGTAGCAAAGTAAACAAACTAATAGATTGGAAGGTACTGATGAGACATTTAGGTACTGGGAACAGTTGTAGTTCTTACCTAACTAGTGATTAATTTATTCTGCTTAGCTAATATCTGATCAAATTAATGCACCTAATGTTTCTAAATGATCCTAAGTCTTTAGAAGTCTCTGGTGCTCTACCAGCCATTTGAAGTTTAAAAGGACATATGAACAACAAAAGCTGTCTCTCCAGGTCTTAAAATGAGTGTGACTGGCCATTTTTGTGACATGTAGAAGCAGAGACTACATGTGGTATTTTATTGACTTACACATTTATGCTTTTGTCATATTCACAAAATGCCATATATATGAGGCAGGCCATATGTTACCTTTCTTTAAGGTGAAAGCTATGGGAGTCTAATGGCAAACTGAGAAATCTTGGTGTCACACTTAGTATACAAAGCATTTTCACTAAATCCTCATAACAATTGTGATTGTAAATGTTATTGTTTTCCTTTTCAGTTTTTTAAATTAATCCTTCCCAGAGCATTTCCCATAGTATTTTATTATGAAAAATTTCAAACCTATATTAAAATTGAAAGAATTGTACAGTGAATACTCATATACCCACTTAGATTCTACGCTTATTTTTCTATATTTGCTTTTTTTAAATACACCTATCCATTTATCCACCCACACATCTTAGTTTTTGTTATATTTCAAAGTCAGTTATAGACATTAGTACATTATACTCCTAAACACTTTTATGTGGATATCATTAATTTGAGTTAAAAGTGTTAGCTGTATTAAAAAACAAAAACAGAAAACTGAGTCCTTCAAATCTGTGTTTTGGGGACACAGTATGTACTCATTCAGTTTGGGCTTTCCCCCATGAAACAATAAGATATTTTAAGAGAAAAATGTGAGCCACCCATATTGAAAAACACTTGTAACTTATTAATGAGAAATAGAAATCTGTGGGGAGGAGGGGGATACCCCTGTTGAATTCCTAGGCCACAGCAAGTCAGCACTGCAAATGAGGCATCTTACCTCATTTCTGATTTTAAATGAGATTGAGGTCATTGCCACATTTCTGAACAGTAACTCCTCTTCTACAGGGGAGAGTTTGATTAGCAAATTACTTAAGCACTTTAGTAATGATATTGGAACCAAATTTCAATGAATATTTTTCCCTTTTCTCTTCTTTCTGGGTGTGACTAAATTGCCTACAGCATGCTGCTTGGTTGCTGGTAAAACAGGAAATGGGGTAAGTAATTTACATAGGGAATTTTTACTACCATTTAAATATAAGCTACTTGATTCTTAAAGTACTTTTACTACTACTCTTTTTTTAGAGTGAGTTCACTAGCTACCAGAGAAATTGGCACAAAGAAAAAATTTTATTTTATGTATTTAAGTGTTAACCTTGTTAACTGGTTTATTGGACAGCATGTTAGTACTCTCATTTTTTTGGTAGATTTATCATGAACATAAATGTATATTTTATAATCATTATGCACTTATATAATGTAGTTTGGCAGCTTATTTTAAAGGAACACATTTTATGCTGGTCTTAGAAACTAAATTATAAAACTAATTATGCTGTAAAAGATATGTAGTAAAGTCCTAGTTAAGGCAGACCAACAATAAGTTTATACATAGGTAAGACATAGAAAACATATGTCCACAGTCCTTTATCTGAAACCCTTGGTGGCAAATGTGTCTTGGAATTTAGAGTTTTTTAGACTTTGGAAATGTAATACAGTGTAAATACCATATATGATATACCTCTCTCCTATGGGGTACTACTGTATTATCAAGCATTAATATTTCTGCAGTGGAGCATACCAATATTCACACCAAATTTGATAAAGCTTTACATGTTTAAGTCAGAGTTTGGTTGCCAACTGAGTTAAGGAAAAAGCTCTTTAATTTCCCAGAGCTTTCTGGATTTTGAAACTAAAAATTTTATATCAGTATGAAAAGGGCCAGGTAACTACTGGAGATTCCTGTGTACTCCTGAAAGAAAACCAGAGAGAATTACGAATTTCTGTATCAGAATCTCATACTTGGTATTTTACAGAAAATTAGTTCATCTGGCATTTTTGTGTGTGTTGTATTTCACATCTGCATTTTTAAAAGGGTAGTAACCACATATTTATCAAAGGTTTTGGGGTTCTGTTAGGTTATGTTAAATTAGTCTCAAATGCTTGTGATTCTGGCATAATGAAATTTGATCCTGTGTTTGAGAAGTTTTTATTAATAGCATAGTCAGAGCATGCTATTTTTTAAATGTTTCCAGTTTCCATCCTCCTTTCTTATTGTGATTATTTCTTATTGAACGATTTTAAACCAAGGTTAGCTCTTCCAAAGATCCTGATCAATATAGGGATACTAAAACAGAAAAAAAATGCAGAATACTACTCTTTTCTCTTAATATCCCTAGTCCATTCTATAATAATCATGTCAAAAGGCTGTGGAGGGATTGCCATTAAAGAATTGATTCAAGGATCTTAGGAAAATAGTGTATTGGGTATTTTGGTTCATCTTTGCTTAAAAATGGTTATCCTGTTGTTATCTGTAGAAAAAGTGATTGTAATTGATATCCTCATCATTAGTTATCTAACAGAGGCGAGGGAAATGCAGTTTCTAAGTATTAAATTGGTACTGAATTTACCTTAATGACTACTGGTTCCTCTAAAGGACCGTCAATCGTAAGCTAAGGACCTTTGTGAAAACATTCACCCTTAATTATATTAGAAAAGCTATTAGCTACATTCAACTTGCAGGATTGAAAATATGGCATTTTAAGTACTGTATTTTTACCTTAAAGGTGAGGCTAAGGTTTCCAAAATGTCTGTTAACCCTTTCCTATAGTTCGTTAAACTGGAAGGAAAAAAATACCTGTAGTTGAAGTTTTTAAACTGGAATAAGGTGCTTTAAATTTAAATGTATTTCAAAAACTATGAAGGACCTAAAATATTAATTTTCTTAAACACATAATGAGTAATGTTTTAATCTGTTTTTAGGATTGGCTTTGACTACAATCCTTTGTACTTTAGATTCTCTAAAGTCTAAACAGTTTTAAAGGGTTTTCTGTTCTTGTGTTTTCTGTTTTCACCTTTTTATTCTTTAAAATGTGTGCTCATACCTTAATTATTTACTTTCAACTGTGATGCTGTTTTATGCAAATAATCATTAGTTGAACTGTTGATGCAATATCAAGATAGTCTTTGAAAATTCCTAAAATGTTTCTGATATTCAGAGAACTAGGAACAGTTTATGAAGCTCAAACACTTAGTGTTTGAATAAGTTCATAAGTGTAGAGAAGTAATTTAATTTTTTTGTCAGATGTAGGGCTTATCAGAGTCCTTTATTGTTAAACCACAATCCCAAAGCATATGAAAGCATTCAGTTTAACCAGTTATTTCAGCTGGATTAAAATGGGTAGATCAGCTATTTCTTAATTTACATTTTTAGAGTAACAGTGGTCTTTATATTGTGTGTATATAATTATATTTTTAGATCAGTTAAATTTAGCAATTAACAAAATTATTTTTTATTTTCTTCTCATAGTTCATAGTGTCTCTTGGTGTTGAAGAATTAAATACAGTAGATATTGACTATATTGTCTTTTTTATTAGTGAAAATTGGATGTTAAAAGAAACGATTCACAAGTTGGCCTAAACATCTCTTTTGTTAAAAAGAAGTCCTATAAATAGCTGTAACTGATTTAAAAATTTAATTATTTGAATGACAGGGGCCTGTTTATTAGTGATATTTCAGAGTAGAGCTGTTTAAATATTACCATATTATGTTTTTCTTTTCTTTCACTTCAATTCCTTTCTATCTCAATTTTAGGTTACAAACTAAAAGCTAGAGATCATAATTGGGACTTCCCCAAACCTGTTTATTGGCTATGAGTAGATTTGAGGGGAATGTAAAATGTTTATTAAGACACGTATATGTTGTTAAATTAGTGAACATTTTAGAGCACTGATGCTTTAGGATTTAATCTTCTTTACCAGTAAAGAGAAGTACAGCTTTTACATTGATTTCCCAAAAGTAAGTCCCCATTATCAGGAAGAAAGTAGATGTAAACATTTTGGTCTGGGTGAAATTATTGTAATACACAGTTTGTAATTTCTGAGCAATAAACAATCTTCTCTATTCCATCTTTCCATCTTTTGACATATAAATCCTGGAATCTGGCAATTCTATCTCAGAAAAACTCATTTATATGCCTTTATCTTTGAAACTTCAAAATTTGTCCTATATGCCATTAAAAAAAAAAAGTAGTTTCTTGATTCTACTAGAATATAGGTCCATGAACTGAGGAAACTTTGTCTGCTTTGGTCTCTGCTTTCTATCTAATGTGTAAAATAGTGCCTTCACATAGTAGGCACTCAATACATTTTAATAATCGCATAAATTCTTGCCTTCATAAAAATGACATTTTTCATATCAGTGAATTAATTTTTATGTTATTCAGAAAGCAGAGTCTGTCGCTGGGAAGAAATGATATAGTTCAGCTAAAAGAAGCCTACAAATGGATAACTCACCCCCTGTTTTCAGAGGAACTGGGTGTTCCCATTGATGGAAAGGTATTGGGTCATCAGCATTATTAATTTTATTCTCTGGTTTTACTAGTTTTACTTCATTATATGGCAGAGTTTTGGTTATCCAAAAGAATCTTCTCTTTCAATAATCCAATAAAAGTTTCTTAAGCTTTTACAGTTCTTAAATTGAGGTTAAAATTGAGATTAAAGTTTTTCTTTTTCTTTTTAAAATTTCTTTGTAATCAAGACACTTATGAGTGTAACAGGTGCTGTGTACCCTGATTGACCTTAAAAGGTTAGAAATGAATTTGTGCCTTTAAGTATATTTATAGTTTAATTAGATAGATTTACTGATATAAAGCTATACATAAATAACTATGAACAAGTGTGGAGTCAACTCTAGACTATTTAATTTTGGTTGTCTGTGGCTAGTCTTGTTTTCAAATATGTAGACAGAACCTGTTCAACTATAGGGAGCATGGGCTCAACCTATCCCGCCTTGTTGGTATCTCAAATCCCTTGTCTTTAATTTTAAGCAGAGTGCCTTTGAAACCAGAACACTTCCCATCCCCTCTATTCCAGGGTAGACCTTGCTTCAGCCTTTGAAATGGACTGAATTTTAGGGAAGAGCTCAGTAGATTTCCAGACGTGGAAACAGGACATATTTCCAGCTCATCTTAAATTAGATTTTAATAGTATGGCCTCATTGCTTCATCATTTTGCTTGAAGGAAATTCCCTGGGTATCAGACACACCCCTATTCAAATAAAATCACAAAACCATCTTTCAAAGCTAAACAATTAAAAAATTTTCCTCATTCTGAATTATATAGCTCTGTTTCCCTCTGTTAGTAAGAATAAACTCTGTCCTTTAAACTGAATACTGAGAGAATAGAGAATAAAACCACTTCACAGATAGTATGAAGAGGAAATGAGGTGATGAAAGTACTTTGGAAATTAGAGAAGTCATTGATGCAAAATATTTTTAACTCAAATTTCAGTTTGAAGTACAGATAATTTTACATGTTGAATCAGTGAGAACAGAAAATAGAAAACAAAAGATGCAGTAATGTTCTAATAGATTCAGGATGAATGAAGTTTTCTTAAGTAAAAGGAATATGTTGTAGTTTTAATTTTATTTTGTTGACTTGAGTAGAACAAAAAAAATTAGTCTTTCACCATTGTGATTAAGAATTACTAATAGGCCTGCTGACGATCCAATGCAATCGATAAATATAAAATTCAATAAAAAGGAAGAATTATTATATGACATTTATATATTTTTTTCAGTGTGAAATTTTGTATAATCTCCATGGAGGTAAATGTATATAGAGTATGAAATTGTGCTTCTTTGTGTATACAAGGATATTCATTGTAGCATTTTAAAAAATATTTTTTAAAATTTATTTTTAATTAAAGGATAATTGCTTTACAATGTTGTATTGGTTTGCCATATAGCAACACTGTACCATTTTTTAAAAATGGTAAAACTTAACTACAACTTAAATGTCCAGCAGTCCTTACAGGTGAAAAGATGTTCATGATGTAATATTAACTGTATTAAGCAGTTTTCTAAATGTCTATTTAACATATAAAGTTAAAGAAGTACATATATTTATGTTTATATTCATAAAAATGGCTAGAAGGGAGCATATCAAACTGTTACTAGTTCTACCTCACTGAAGTGGGATTGAAAACCCATTATTTTATAATATTATTATGTATTACATTTTTAATGAGACAAAAAATTAAGATCTTTCTTTTAAAAGTCACATCTATTAAAAACTTTGAGAACTTAATAAAGAAACCTCATACAGAGTTTTTAGGCATGTGCATAAATAATAGTTGCTAATTCTAATCATAGTACTGACAGGAGTATATCTTCGTTTGTCTCAGTTACCCCTTTCCAATTCTCATTCATTTTCATACCTAATTTATATACTTTACAAAAAATCATAAAAATTTAATTTGTTTTAAACTTGTTTTCTGTAGGATCACTAGTGATTGAGTTCTAGGAGTTAAAGAAAAAAAGATTATTTCCTTCACAGCTGCCCTGTGACCAAGCTGATTTGAAAACAGTAGTATTTTCAGTTTTCCTTGTCACTTTTTCTGAGCCAGTCTTTGAGAGTTAATTCTGTTTCCATTGATAAGTTGTTAGATGTTAGTTTCTTTTTGCTCATTTTTAAACTGTCTTTATAATTTTTAGAGCTTGTTTGAAGTGAGTGTGGTCTTTGCTCACCCAGAAACAGTTGAGGATTGCCACTTCCTGTAAGTTACAACTTAACATTGCCAATTGTGCAGCATTGTTAATACCTTTTGATTTTCATGAAAATAGTTTTGTTCTTCTTTCTAAGGGGCATATCAGAACTTGTCATGTCTCTGAAGGTTTAAAGTGTGCTCTCTGATATGAGTCTAGACAAACCAATGTGGCTCATATAGGGATTCATTTTGTCCGCTTCTGATATCCTGAGTTTAGCAGTCATGGTGTATAAAATATTTGAATTTTATCCACCCTCAAATAAACTCATTAATCTTTTATATTAACTTGAATTTTGCTTAGACGTGCAATATGCCCAGAATGTTTCAAGCCAGCCAAAAACAAACAGGTAAGGATTCCTGCTTCTTATTCTTTAGTGAATTTTTTCTGAGCTGAATATTCAAATTAGCAACAAAAAGGATATGCATTAGAAATATTGGTAATCTGTTATACTAAGAATCAATCTCAAACTATTTCCATTTGCTACATTCATTTTTTTTTTTAAACTCTCAACACCTTTGTGTGTGGCTCAGAAGTCATAACACACAAACATTCTCATGCTTGTGTCAGTGTCTGAATTGTTTCCCCAAAATTACATCATCTGGGAAAGTATGTTTTCAGTATCATCACCATTCCAAACTTCTAATATTTGTTTTCTAGAAATTGGTATTTTGAAAATATAATCCAAAGTAAATTATTTTATTTAGGACAGTCCTGAATTAATAGAACCTATTTCAGGCTACATTTGCAAAAGAGTATTTTATTTAAACTCTCCTTTACTGTCTGATGTGAGTTGGCCTTCATGTTAATGAGAAAAAATAGTTAGCTTGTATTTTTAGTTTCTGTCATGCCAGGATGGAATGGCCTGGCATGTTACTGACAAGTGTTCACAGCCCAGTTACTTAGCTGGTTTTGTACAGGCTCAGACATTCTAGTTTTACTGACCGATGTTATGGTTGTTAAACATAACTGATGGATGTTTTGCTGTTGTGGTTGCTAAAAAGAATATAAGTTTATCGCCAAAGATACATCTTTTGGTCTTTTCTCTTACTTTGACTAATTGCTGGATCTTTTAGTACCTGGGGGAGATTGGAGGCTTGGAGAGTTTGTAACATTTGCCAAATGCCCTGTGCAGAAGTAATCAGAAATGCAGATCAAGCCTAAAACCCTGCTTCCCTCCTTTTCTCACATCATGGCACATCTAGAACATTACCATGTTTGACCAGCACCCTGAGGTTAACAGGTGAAGTTGCTCTAAGTTGTGAGCAGTAGGCCTAGGGTTTCTCATTGTTTCAGGCCTTTTCCCTCAACCCTCGTGACCTAGAAGGACCCGGGTACAGCTGTAGCTCACTGCTTTGCCATACCAACTGGGAGGTTCTGCCTAAATGACCTGTGAGCCATGTTTATATAAAGATCTAGTTTTATTTTTTGTTATCTTTGAGCAAGTATGTAAGTACCAGCATCAAATAATAGAGTAAGGAAATTTTTGTCAAACCATCACAGACATCATGCCATTTGGCCAGTAGGTGTTGTTTAGTCTTAAGTGTAGTTTTCCGGCATGATGGCTGGGAATAAGTTGAATGACCTTTTAAGGTTCTTCCAGGGTTAAGATTTCATTTCTTAACAAACAGGCACTTAATTTTTTATTCTAACCCTGTGACAGAGTATGGTTTAGGAAATCATTTGTTTCGTTGCTGAGATGTTTAGAGATCCACATTGTTCCTATTTTCAGTCAAGTGTACTTTCTCACAGCAGAAGAAATAATTGTAACTTATCAGAGTGACCACATGAATATGCAGTAATTAGTTCTGGTATGTCTACCATGAAGTTTGGCTTTTCTTGTTTTAAAAATCCAAAGTGGGACATTTGTAGATGCCCTTCTATTCAGTATGGTGGATTTTGTTTCCTTTGTCTGTGATTAGCGAGTGATACTGAATTGCTGGATGTCGAGACATGCCAGTTGGCTCTGTTTTGCCCCTCATCCTGGCAGCCAACTCCTGAATTATGTACTGTGACCCCTGAAGGAATGTAGAGAAGAAAAGAGAGATGGGGCCACCTAAATTTCTTTTGAGGTCTCAGAAGAAATATTCGAAGCACATTTCCTGCCATGTCATCATTTTTTTGTATTTGAAAAATACCACATTTTGAGGGGAGTGGGATAGTGCAGTGAAGAAAACATTCACTAGATCCACCTGATATTATAGACATAGGATAAATTGAAGAGAAGCATCCAGTCACAGAACTGACAGTATGGACACTTGTGCTGTATTTTCTTTATTTTCTTGAAGCTATTAAGTATTTCTCCCTTTTAAGTATGGTTTAAAATGATTATAATTTCTCCAACCATGTTCTGTTTCAACTTGGATGTTTTGTTATATAGGTGATAAAATGTTTTTTTTTTTTCTTTTCATTTTATCCTATATAGTCAGTATTCACTAGAATGGCAGTTATGAAAGCTTTGAATAAGATAAAAGAAGAGGATTTCCGCAAGTAAGTAGAAGTATAGAAATAAGAAATAATCATGGAATTTAGAATAAGGGGAATGTTAGAAATTATCTGGATTATCTCTAAAACAAGACTGGATGTATTTTCAGGACCAGAATTGTGTCTTAACCCCCATTATATCCCCAGTTCCTGGCTCAGTATCTGGCATATAGTGGTGTTCAGTAAATGTTTCTCAAATTAATATTTGGATTTATGAATCATGTCCAACTTGTCTCTTTTAGAAGAGGATGACTTAGCGACTTTACAACAACGACATTGAGGTCCAAAGTGGATGTTGACTTGCCTCAGATTGAGTGTTGGATGTTGAGCCAGGTTTCCTGATTCTCCAGGCTAGTACTAGCCCCATTACATCCCTCATCCTGGCTTTCCTGTATTGTACATCTCCAGAAGAGAGAGGAAAAGGCTCATGAGTTTCCTTTCTTGCTAAAGTATGCTGAACTACAATAAATCTTAGATTTTAATACTCAGTGTGTTCATGTCATTTAATAAGATATTACCATAGTTATCCTTCCAGAATAGCCTTGAATAAATTTCAAAAAAGGAAGTTATGAGGAAGGTGTCATATATTTTGCTGACTAAACATGTCTCAGAATATAAATATTTGTATTAAGTTTTTTTTGTTGTTTTGACCATGCTGTGCAGGATCTTAGTTCCCCCACCAGGAATCGAACTTGTGCCCCTTGCAGTTGAAATGTGGACTCCTTACCGCTGCACTGACAAGGAAGTCCCTGCTAAATTTTAGAAACAAAAGACAGTTACTTTCTACAAGCAGTAGTGCCTGAGTTTCTAAGTGATTTCTTTGCTAAGACATCTTGGGAAACTGAAAGTTTCAACACAAGCATTTTGGATTAAATACACATCTAGTCATTTATAGAGAGACTCCAGTTCTTGGAATTTCCCAGATGGTGGACAGAGAATAAAGTCATACATTGCTTTCTCCTGTCTGTCCTCAACTGGATTGAAGTTTCTTAGCTAAAGGACAGAATCAGCCACATTTCACTTTTTCTGGGTCTATGGTCTGATTTCCAAGATCCTAGTTGAAATGAAAAGAGAGAAAAATGGCGGACTACCCTCCCCACAGGTGTGCCCTACTCACATGACCAGTCTCTGACTGCACACCAGCTTTACCCAAATGATTGAGGATTTTGTAAGCAGCAGCAAGTGTTCATGGATACTAAAATGAGCCCGAAGAGGCTTCTACTATTACATATGTGGGGATTTTTCCCCCCCCAAATCTCAAGGCTGATGTTGAAAACTGTCATCTGGGAACATGAGGCCTCCTGAGTCTGAATGTTATTAGCAGAGCCCTCATTTACTTAGTGCAATTCTCATGTATTAAAAGTGGTCCTCCAGAGGCCCAGAAGACCCTTACAGTCCCAAAATTTAAAATTCGGGAGAGGCTTAGTCCTTGAGAGACTCAAGCTCTGTGCATCTCAGGCAATGCTGATTCATCTTAGTTATGTGGTTCAATATCATATCTGGAAAATAGTAGCTATAAAATTTATTTTGTTTTGCAGGCAGTTTCCTTGTCCTCCAGACTCACCAAAGGCTGTATGCACTGTTCTTGAAATTGAATGTGCTCATGGTGCTGTTTTTGTGGCTGGTAAAACACTTAGTCTAGAATATACTTACACTGCCAATTGTCTCTCCTTTCTGAAAAACTCAGTTGACTCCTTCTCTGTTTCCTCCTTATTGTTGTTATTAGTTTCTCATTAATTAACTCTTTTAAGCACTAGACCTGATAGTCAAGTTTATTTTAGATTTTATAAGTATTCTTATGGAACACTAAAGAGATTTGATATTTAAAATGCCATGCCAAAAGGAAATGATACATCCCAGATTTTAACAGTTTTCATCAGAGATGGCCAAGTTTAACTATGGGTAGATGTAGAGACCAAAAACTAATCAAGAGAACAGAGAGGATGTTTTACAACATGAAGTCAATCCTGAAAAAAATATTTATCTGCAAAGTGGCTAAGCACTTGGCTTCTGCTTAGAAAAAGAAATAGTTGCATTGACTTTCCCAAGAGGTAAATCTGGTTAGACAGTTTTGTTTTGAAAACTACAACTGTTTCATAATAATAGCTGAAATGAAATCGCTCTTTAGTCTTGACTATAATACCCTGCCCTGGCGTAAAAAAGCTACCTGCCTCGGTGTAGCTTTATTCATAAAACAGTGAGTCATATTCTGTTAGGGTGTTTTCTTTTTTTTTTAAACTTATAAAAACTTCAAAATGTCCTGTATTTTGAACTCTTTGGAATACATTATCACCAATGACTCTTACACTTGAGAGTATTATCAATCAGGCGTAAAAGCAGTAGTTGCTCTTTTGTTAAAGATCCTTGGTGTGTTCCATAATATTGTAACTTGTTCAGTCAGTCAGGTTAATAAATATACTGAGCATTCCTTTAGAACTCATTGATGATTCATACTGTGTCTTTAGCCATCTCTTCTATTGCCACCTTAAATTTTTTCATTGAATTATGTGTATGTGCTAAGTCACTAAATTAGATTATAAGTTAGTTGAAGTCTAAGCCTTGTTTTGTATCATAGCACCTAGAATATTGGCACTTAGTGGATAGTTGTTACTTTCTTTTTTATTCTGCTGTGTTAATCACACCATCCCAGCCAGGTAACCTTTCTATTTCTTTGTCAGGGAGATATAATAAATACTCCAGGAATCTACCACAAACTCCTTGGATAATTGATGGAGAAAGGAAGCTGGAATCTTCAGTGGAAGAATTAATTTCAGACCATCTTTTGAAAGTGTTCAAAGCAGAAAGTAAGTGTTATAATATTCATATTTTAAATATTTGTTCACAAATAGACTTCTTGGAGATGGCAGGAAAGATATCCGTATTTTGTAAACCACCACCAAGTCTGGGCCCCTTGCCTGGCAGCTTCCTATGAATAGGGATTGCCATGTCCTGAGCTCCTCTGCCCAGAGCTGGATTTGAGCCAAGCTGCTCTAAGATTTCTCTGTTCTCTCAAGACTACTGCCTTTTTCTGGGCAAATTAAAAACAATTGAAACTACTTTCAATGAATGCACTTAAGCTCTGACCTTTGGACACCTTAGCCTCAGCCTCTTATTGGGAATATGAGGAAATTAAAACACAGCTTCCATATCCATTGCTTATTCAAGAGTAACCATTGGCAAATGCCTGGCTTCTGTCTTAACAGCTAAAATGTCCTAGAATAGAGTTCAGACCTAGAGAAGATAGATCAACAGCAACTATTTCACAAAGACTTAATAATAGTGTTGTTGTTTTAATTTCTTAGGTATTAGCAAGCCCAGGTTTGTGGGCTGAGTCAGACCCTGTCAGGAATATGCTTTCTTTGTCTCAATTGGCTGTCAGGTCAAAGGAGCAAAAAACCTTCTGATTTCACCCAGGATTAGACTTAGAGGAAAGGGACTAAGATTTCAACCAGAGGAAATCATATTGTATATCAGGAAAAAACATAGTCAGTGAGTAAGTATATCATACTCTTTGGAGTAGGTCTCCTGGCATAATTAAAACATCTTTTTTGAAAGACCAGCTAGACATCCATCTTTCTCTCTGGCAAACCTTAGACAAATGTGCTTTAGTAAAGGCAGACAAGTGATCGAAATTAGATGCCCTATCCCTTCCAGCTCTCTGCTTGTCAAAAGGAAAGAGAAGCACTTCAAAGCCATATCCCTTTTATAATTTATTGCCTATCAGGTAGGTGGGCCCTTTTTAAAAGGCCTTTAAGAACTGTTTACTGAATGGAAAAGAAAGTAACCTAGCAACCTAACATTTTCCAAAATCTTAACAGTAAAGACTCAGGGCTATTGCCGTGAACTTTTACCTACTTAATTTAATATTTACACACTGGTTATCTCATAAGACCTAGTCAAGTTACAAAGAAGTGAAAATAAAGCATTAGCATGAAAAGTCTCTTTGAAACTCTTTTTTGGGGGCATCTTTTTTCCCTTCTGTAAGAAGATACAAGATTTAGTCCTGATTTTTTGGGTTCCAAGGAATCCCCCATTACCAAGAGGGCTATAGAGGGGTTCTGGAACACCTGTATCTTTCCCCCTTGCAGTCTCTCATGAGGTAATTCCTTGTTATAGTCCACTTGAGAAGGAAAAAAAATTGTCCCCAAACTGAGAAGAAAGCAAACTGTAATTGTATGTTTAGGAAATTTATAAAGAGGCACTTGAGAAAAAGCAGACCTCTGGGCCTCTGTGTTAATTGGCTCCTTGTCATGAAATAAAATCTTGTTGTCTGAAATCCCTGATTAGTAGTATCAGTTTGCTAAACTTGTGCTTCTCAGATATATTACTTGTCACTTCTGTGATTCACATCTGACAGCTCTGGGAAGATGGTTATGACTGTTGTACCTCTACACTTTACGCTCTATGAAAATAAACCAGTATTGCATGAAGCAGCCTAACTACTTCTATAAAGGGTCCTTCCCCTCAGTGGGAGATACAAACTTGTTTTTCAGTCACTGCAGACTGGCACGTCATATTCTCTACTTGCCAGTTCGCTAGTTAATAAGTGAAACTTTGACATACTCTCAAAACCACTGTGTCTAAGAAATGTTTTCCCAATACACTTATCTCTTCACTTATTGAATAAATATTTGTCATGTCAGTTGCCTGCTGAAAACTGGTCAATGTTTCAGCTACAGGGTGAAGTCCAAACTATATAACTTGATATTCTGAGGCCATCATCATCTGACCTCGGCTCATCCTTCAGTCCCATTGTCTGTCTGTCCCCAAGTATGAGGGTCACTACAGACTTCTGAACCCCTTCTCATTCTTGTCCTTGTTTTTCCTGATCATTGTCGTTCCTGATCATTCTTGTCCTTGGTTTTGTTGTTGTTTGAAATATCTGTTCCACTGAGAAGTTGGTAGAACTCACAGGATTTGGGGGATAAGGCAAGGCATAATATGAGGGGTTTTTTTTGAATTGGAGGCTAATTATTTTACAGTATTGTAGTGGTCTTTGCCATGCATTGACATGAGTCAGCCATGGGTGCACATGTCTCCCAGCCTGAACCCCCCTGCTGCTGCTGCTGCTGCTGCTAGGTCGCTTCAGTCGTGTCCGACCCTGTGTGACCCCACAGACGGCAGCCCACCAGGCTCCTCCATTCCTGGGATTCTCCGGGCAAGAACACTGGAGTGGGTTGCCATTTCCTTCTCCAGTGCATGAAAGTGAAAAGTGAAAGTGAAGTCGCTCAGTCGTGTCCGACTCTTAGCGACCCCATGGACTGCAGCCTACCAGGCTTCTCCGTCCATGGGATTTTCCAGGCAAGAGTACTGGAGTGGGATGCCATTGCCTTCTCTGTGAACCCTCCTAAACTTCTGTTATTCATGATTGCATACAAATAAAGTTCTAAAATTTGACCCCCAAAGTATTTCTCAGGGTAGGGTCCAAATTTGCAACATTTTTTCTAAAAGATGTAATAAATACCCTTTCTCCCTTAGTCTGGATTTAATATTTCTTTGGGCTTCTCAAGAGCCTATTTTTCTATACTTCTTTCTTGTTGATGGGCTGGAATTTTGGGGAAGCTTTATGGGCTTATTTATGAATTTGAGGTTTCTGATCTGATGGAGGAGTCACGGGGAGATCTACCTCTTTGTGTCCTGTTCATTCCCTCCACCCCATCAGCCACAGGTTATGGCTCAGTCACTGTAGGGCCCTAGTTCCCTGAGGTTGGATTGGGGATGGAGGTGTGCAGGTATAAGACCAACTATAGCCTGCTCATGGTAATGTTTGCGCTGGTAAGATCATCAGTTGGTTCTGCATCTAAGAAAGTTGTCCTGGAACCACTCCCTCCACCCTCTTCTCCGCTCCATATTTCCACTTTCCCACCCCAGTATTTGTAGCTTTTAGTCTGTGATGATCCATCTATCTTAAATATATATACTAGTTTCATTGTGGCCCCAGCTTAAGTTTGCTTATATAATGAATTTGGTTTTAGAGTCAAACACTTTCTTTTCCCTTCCTTTCATGGAGTTTAATTCTCAAATACTGTTTTTGTTTTCTTTTGTTTTAAGAAAAAGAAGAAAGATAAATTTTTCTCCGTAAGTTTGTAGCCAGTTTGGTAGCAGGGCCTTTCTCCAAACAGTGCTCTGCCTTTGGCTTTCCCACGGGATGGTGGCATGGGATGATAAGAAAGATGTGGCTTTGACCTCTGCCCTTTAACTGTGTTACCTTGGGGAAAGTACTTAACCTTTCAGAAGCTTGGTGTTCTTTCACTTAATACTTACCTCATAAGATTACAGTAAGGAATAAATAAAATAATGTATGCAGAATTTTAGCTCAGTGGCTAACATGTAACAAGTACTCAGTAAATAGTATTTATTATTATCATTGTTATTTTCAGTAGAGATTAGGACTAGAGTTGTGATGATGACTATTCCTTGGGATTCTCTTGTAGATTAAGACAAATTGGGTTTCTACCAAGGGTGGGAATGAAAGTTTTAGGACTATTATGTTGCTGATTTTTTTTTTCTTTATCTTCTTTCCAAAGGCTTTAATTTTTCTTCCTCTGGAAGAGAAGATGTAGATGTGAGAACATTAGGAAATGGTAAGATTGCGACATCACTTGACTAGAACTAACTTTCAGATTATCACCCTTTTCGGGCAGCAGGTTTTCTGTAGTCACTTAGTCAGAGTCAAAATTGGCAGAGCCCAGAGCTTCTCCATGAGAGGAAGCCTTGTGGATTTTGGAGCTATCCTTGTAAATTATATGATTATGTTTTAACAGGGATCATTTCTTCAGAGGCCATCTTTATTGCATACCTATAGGTTATAAGGGACTTTTACAATTGTGCGTTAACAAACAGGTACTTGATTTTTTCCAAAAGTCTGATTACTCATTGTTCCTTTTAATAACACTTCAGTACCAGTACAGTTTTCAGAGTGCACATCTTCATTGAAAAGGTGTTCCTGCTCTCTTAGCCTTCATTTTTCTCATTTTATATTATTGCATTACAAGAAAGATGATGAGAGGAATCCTGAACTATTCTAGATTTATAGTCCCTTCTTCTCACGGAATCTCAGCTTTTCATTTCACTAGGCTAGGAGACTGTATTTCAACTTGGTATACCTGGGCTTTGCTGCACATGACAACGTTACATTAGTGTAACCAAGTCAGTTAGTGGCTGTTTGGATGTGATTTTGTAAATTAACACAGGCTCGTTCATGGACTTTTGGGAAAGCAGTCATTTTCACATATTGCCTGTACTGGGGTTTAGCAGCCCCCCAAAAACCCTTTGATTCTTTTCACACATTCTTCCCTCCCCCAGATGTAGTCATGTCACTGAACTTTCCGTCCTCTAGAGCTCAACTCGTTTTTTCACACCTCCTAACCCTCTTGCATTAGCCCAAATGTTAACTCCATCAACACGTTTCTGTTTCATGACGGGGTGTGTGCTGCCAGGAAGGCCCTTTGCAATTGAGCTGGTGAATCCTCATAGAGTACATTTCACTTCACAAGAAATTAAGGAACTTCAGCAGGTAAACCACTTCATGACATGGAAATTGTCATGTTTCTGCAACTCTGTAACTGAATTAGAGTTGCTAATTGTTTTTCTTTTTCTAATACTACAGAAAATTAATAACTCATCTAACAAAATCCAAGTCCGTGACTTGCAGCTTGTCACAAGGTAAGGGTAGGCTCACTGGTGATGTCTCAAGAGGGGAGTTTTGGTCGCACATCATTTATCTGATAAGGGATTTGTATCCAGAATATATAAAGAACTCCTGCAACTTAATAATAAGAAAACAAGTCGATTAAAAATGGAGAGAATGTTAAGTGCACATTTCTCCAAAGAGGATATACAAATAGCCAGTGAATACATGAAAAAGTGTTCAGCATCATTAGTCATTAGGGAAATGCAAATCAAAACCACAGTGAGATCCCACTTAACAAAAAAGACAGAAAACAGCAAGCATTGGCAAGAATGTGGAGAAATTGGATCTGTTATACATCGCTGTGGGATTGTAACTAGTACCACTTGGGAAAACAGTTTGGCAGTTTCTCAAAAGGTTATATATAGAGTAACCATATGACCCAGTAGTTCCACTTCTAGCTATATACCCATGAGAAGTGAAAATGTACATCCACACAGAGACCTCTGCATGAATGCTTATGGTCACATTACTCACAATAGCAAAAAAGTAGAAACCACCAAAATGTCTATGGATGAACAAAATGGTATATCCATACAGTGGAAAATCAGTGGTATTTATCAGTACTTTACTTTGAAGTACTGATACATGTGGCAATATGGATGAACTTTAAAAACATTATGAAGAAGCCAGACATCAAATACCACATATTGTACATTTTACAGTATTCACATTTTATATAAAATGTTCAGAGTAGGGATGTCTATAGAGATATAAAGTCAACTAGTGGTTGCCAACGGCTGGGGGAAATGGGGAATAAGTGATTGCAATTGGGTGTGGAGTTTCTCTTTTGGGGTGATTAAAGTATTCTAAAATTAGATTGTGGTAATTGCTGCACAGCTCTGTAAACGTACTAAAAATCACTGAATCGTTCAGTTAAACAGGGGAATTGTATGTAAATTATATCTCACTAAAGCTATTTTTAAAGAAAGAGAAGTTTGGGGCAAGGCTTATCTGTATTTTATAAACTCAGACAAACTTTCTTTTATTGTTTTTGTTTAGAGAGGCAATAGGACATATGAAAGAAGGTGAAGAGGGGAAGACCAAGACCTACAGTGCCTTAATATGGACAAATAAAGCAATACAGAGGAAGGACATTGAATTCCTAGATGACATAAAGGTAGTTCAGTGCTCTAATTCTTTTATTTTTCTACTGACTATAAAAGTCTTTTGTCTTCTCATTTATTACCAAGTCATAGCACACTGGCTTTGGGGACTCTTGAGTTGTTGCTGTTGTTTAGTTGCTAAATCATGTCCAACTCTTTTGCAACCCCTTGGCTAGAGCCTGCCAGGCTCCTCTGTCCATTGCGTTTCCCAGGCAAGAATACTGGAGAGGGTTGCTGTTTCCTTCTCCAGGGGATCTTCCCGACCCAGGGCTGGAACCCACGTGTCCTGCATTGGCAGGCGGGTTCTTTACCACTGAGCCACCAGGGGACTGTGAAACCTGGTTCTAAATTCTGACTTTGCATTTACTCCTTAAATGACTGAGTAATTCATCTAACCTGTCTGAGAGGCAGTGTTGCTACTGATTAGGAGTCTTGACTCCGAGAACAGATAACCTGGGTACAAATCTTGGTTCGGCATTTCTTGGTTGTATGACTTTGGATGAGTTGCTTAGCTTCTTTGTGTTTCAGTTTCTTCATCGATAAAATTAGTTAGAAGAATTAAACAGGTTTAGTCATATAAAGCCCTTACAATAGGATCTGGCATATAGAAAACACTCAACAATGCTATTATTATATTTGATCATCTGCAGAAAGGAAATAGAAAACAGAATTTATCTAATAGAATTGGTGCTCAGATTAACTGCACAGATAAAACATATTGTAAATAAATATGTCAGGGTGATATATGTAGGGCACAGATGTTTTGGCACATGCTAGATTTTCCTTCACATGAGGATGTTGCTCTTGAGGATCTACATGTTCAGTTGAATATTTCTTCCCACCTGCCCCCACCTCTTCCTGTAAAGATAACTGACTTTCACATGCAAGGAATGAGCATAAATGGGCACAAATATGTAGTTATCACAACATTGTTTAGATGGGCAATATTTTGTAAAAATCTAGAGGGGACTGGTTTAATCTTATGACTTATCTGGTATGATGGACTATTACTAGCCAGATGTTAGAAATTTTATGGAAGATGAATATTCATTGACAAAGGGAAATGTTCCTGATGAATACTAAAGCAGAAAAAAAAAAAACAAGCTATAAGAATATAAAGGACTTCTGTGGTGGTTCAGTGGTTGGGAATCTGCCTGTCAATGCAGGGGCACGGGTTTGATCCCTGACTTGGGAAGTTTCCATATGCCACGGGCAACTATGCCTGTGTGCTACAACTACTGAGCCCACGCATTCTAGAGCCGTGGTCTAAAACAAGAGAAGCCACAGCAAATAGAAGCCTGTACACGTCAACTAGAGAGTAGGCCCTGCTCGCCACAACTAGAGAAAGCCCGTGTGTGGCAATGAAGACCCAGCACAGCCAAAAATAAATAAATTTTTAAAAATAATAATAATAAAAGAATATATGGAGGATGATACATTGTGATTTAGACACACACATAAGTGTGTGGTTATATATACACATATGTATGACTCTACAAAAAAATTGTATGGCAAAAGAAATACCACAAATAGGATTTATACTTAAGAAAAACACAAATACCCAATAGAGAAAACTGGACAAATTATTTGAACAGACAGCTGAAAAAATGGCAACTCCAAATGGCCAAGAATCATTTGAAAAGATACTTCACCTCTAGACTGAAGTAACAATAAGACATCACTTTATTCTTCTGAGGCTAAGAATGCCTGTTGGTTGGAGGGAGAAGGCTAGTTACCTATATTTTCAATAGAAATATAAGTGTTTTAGCTTTCTGGAAAACAATGTGGCAGTGACTGTGAAAATAAAAAATTTAATGGTCTACCCAGTACTTTCCCTATTGGCATTCTGTCCTGAAGAAATAAAACTTCAGTGTATAAGGATATGTGCACAAGGATGTTTGTTGACTTTGTTCAGAGTGAGAAAATCAACAAAACTGTAAACAAAGTAAATTTCCTTTGATAAGGAAATGGTAGAACATGTTGGAATATTATACAACTGTTTTAAAAAAACTAAAACAACATGTGATCCCATTTAATTTGTGTTGTTGTATGTATATATATCTAAAACTGTTGGGGAAAAAAAGATAGAGGTAGGTCTACATCTATGACTTGTAACATTGGGGGGAAAAGCAAGGTGCAGAATAGTGTTTATTTTAATAATGAGTGTTTTGGTGAAAACATACATGTCATTCACCTACTGAGAGAAGTTCATATATAAAATGACGGGTAGACTAGATGATCCTCAATGGGCCCTCCACTTCTTGGCTTCTGGTGATTTCATATCTAAGGCCCTTTGGCTTTTGGCTCTATTATTGAGAGTCTTTTGAATGATAGTTTTACTAAGACAAATTTCTTTAAGATTGTGAAACAAATTTCTAAGCCTCTACTCCATGACATGTGTACATATCATTTAGAATGCAGTGGGGAAAATAGAAGCCCATTTTAACAACAGATTGACAGTTTGGGAGTAGCCATAGCGCTAACTCAGAAACAGTGCTGCGAGACGATTGTTACAGGTACACACTAGGCAGTGAAAAGGTCTGTTTCAATGGGCCACAGTCCTGTGGGCTGATGACAGCCGACATCTAATCATTTTCTTAAAGTGCTAGGGTTAAACGTTTTTCACATAGTCCTATTGGCATCAAAAATATAAAAACTGATTACTGCCCCATTCTGAAAAAAAGTCATTTCAGATTTACTCTGTCTCCTCTGTTTTGAAGGGCAATCTAGTTTTGTGTGTGTGTGTGTTTTGGTTGCGCTGGACCTTCATGATGAAAAAGGGCTCTCTAGTTGCGGTACACGGGTTTCCCAGTGTGGTGGCCTCTTCCGTTGTGGAACACAGGCTCTCGAGCTTGGGTTCAGTAATTCTGTCCCAGGCCCAGCTGCCCCGTGGCATGTGGAATCTTCCCAGACCAGGTATCAAACCCATGTCCCGTGCATTGGCAGGCAGATTCTCAACCACTGGACCACCAGGGAAGTCCAGGGAAACCTAGTTGTAAGGAAGAAATCACTTGTGTATATTTATGTGTGTTTCTGAAAAATTCAGCAGTATGGGGAAGCAGAGCACAGTGTTGGAGTAAATGAAGTGGTTTCATTTTGTTCACTAAAAAACCAAGAGACCAAAAAGATGCACGAGTGTGTGTCAGCCTGAGTGTTGTGTTGGAAGCAGTGGTGCGTCTTCTGGCTCAGTGTTAACTCCATTGCCTGCTTCTGGGTCAGAGTCCCAGGAATGACTCTTTATAAAGGAAACAGGGGAAGGGCACACCTCACCTAGTCACACCTTTAAAGCCCAGCTGATTCTATTCCCTAAAGTGGAGACCATATCTTTATAGATTCTATAATAATTCAGCCTGGCCCTTTTTTTTTTTTTTTGGTCTTTTTGACCAGAGTAACGTTAGACCTTATGGAGACAACTTATCTCATCCAAACAAAGTGCTTCTAAAATCAAAGAATTAAAGAATCGTAAAAACCAAAAGTTAGGAGGAGCCATTGACTCACTGCTCTGATAAAAGAAAGCAGTCATATCATTTCAAGTGTAGTCTTTGTCAGAACCTGCTCTTCTTTCTTGGTGGAGAACTTGATAGAGGAGAGGCCAGACAGAAATCTTTTTTTTCTCAGCATGGCTTCAGGCACTTACTAATCACATAAATCAGGAAGGAGTTGTTCCAACAAGAAATTACAGAGGATTCAAAGTTCTTATGAACCTACATTGCTGGTTATGCCCAGTATTTATTTTTAAAACTGGGAATTAGTTGGCCTTTTACAATATTAACCTGTATTTCTTTATTTATATCTTGTGACATTAAAGGACATCTCTAATTGTGAGAAAACCAAGCCTTTGTCCCTAAAAAGCCAAACTATAAAAAAAGCATGCAATGTAATTCTCAAGTAACTTGAACTGGGCTGACAAATATTGAGAGGTTCTGGTTTACTTGTAATTATTATTCTGAAACACCACCCTAGACAGTGATGCAGCTGTTAATTTTCCAGATATTTCTTTTGTAGAACAAAAAGAAATAACCCTGTGAATAGGTATATTATTATTCCTACAACATGGGACACTGCCCAGGCACACAAGTGACGCTGATGTCCGTCTTCTATAAACACCATTTCTCACCTCAGTATGAAATTCTATTAGGTCACTCTGCTGGGTTAGGGGGGAAGAAAGTAAGAACATTATCTTCTAGAAGATCTCTGTTTAATGGGCAGGCTAACACTCTAGGGTCCAATCAATTTGTCAATATTAGAGCAAAAGAGTATCATTTACTTCAAATCAGTGATACTTTTTTTGTTTTTAAATAGTGTACTGGGGCCCAGAAGATAAGTAATTGTGGACTAGATTATAGGAAGTCCCACAAAGTCTGAACCTTAGAGAATACAATTTATTACAGTATTAGTTTCTATCCTGATAGTAATAGATGGGATCCTTAAGAAAACATCTATAGTGAGCCATGGATGACAAAGGAGATGCTAAGACAGGCTTCACTGGGCAGGAAAGCTGAAACATGGTTCTCATATCCTTCTCTAGGACTTAAAGATTGACCAGAAAACACCTTTACGGGTCCTTCACCGGAGGCCCCTGGCTGTGAGAACTCGCATCATTCACTCCATGGAGACATGCTATGTGGACGAGCACCATTTCCGCCTCTCCCTGAAGACTCAAGCTGGAACGTATCCTTCCACCCTTGTGTATCTCTAAGCCTGCCAGAATCCTATTGGGAGAATTCATGCAACCCTAGGAAAGGGGTTCAACCTTATCTTGAAACTGTTCAGGAAAGGTTTGGGTTGGAGAAGAATCTTCTTTTTTTTATCTGAGGTATTTTGACCTATTAAATTTGTTTTTCAAAATGACATTGTAAATCATGAGGCAGCAGCCAATTCAATGTGAACTTAAAATGTGTAGTGTCTTACACAATGCTGAGGTACTGAGGGCATAGTAAGTGCTCAGGGAACACTTTTGATTGATTCATGCCTTTACACATTTTGCAGGCCACATATTCATGACCACATTTAGGTCCTTTCAGCATTCTACCCCAAACTATTAAATAGGGGTGGTGGATCGGAGTGGCCCCACTTCACATGCAGAACTTCACTTATCTGGCCACTGGCCCAGAACAAGAGAATAGTCCCAGTTTAAATCATTTGTTTGTAGCCTACCCTGCTTTGTGTGGTTTTGTATCAGATCTTGAGTGAGTGAGTGGGTGAAGTCGCTCAGTCGTGTCTGACTCTTTGCAACCCCATGGATTGTAGCCTGCCAGGCTCCTCCATCCATGGGATTTTCCAGGCAAGAGTACTGGAGTGGGTTGCCATTTCCTTCTCCAGGGGATCTTCCCAACCCAGGGATTGAACCCAGGTCTCCCACATTACAGGCAAACGCTTTACCATCTGAGCCACCAGGGAAGTCCTTGTATCAGATCTTAGTTTCTGGGTTAAAGTATATCAAGGAACTGCCTTCATCTTAGTTTTAGTTTATTTTTCAGAAATGCTCCAAGTTTTTTTTTGTTTCTTGGTTTGAGGCTGTTTTGTATTGAATATCATGAAGTATGAAATCTTCTAATTGGTATAAAACTCATGACATAACTTACTGGATATAATAACAGGGGGGGAATATGTCAAGTTTTAATTACCAAATAGCATTCTTACTGTCTTTCTGTTATTAGTCTGCCTCTCCTTTCCATCAGTCTTCTCTCCCCTTCTCCTTCCCTACTCCACCCCAGGACTGACCAAGCTGGGTACAGGTTATTGACCAAATAGGTACAGGTTATTTACTCTGAAAATCTCCTAAATTTTTGTAGTTTCAATCAAGTGATGACCTATTTAGACCAGGGGACATGAAGCACATTTGCTTATTGTAGATGGAATGTGGGTGGAATTTCAGAGAAATCACAGATATAAAATACATACATTTTCATCTAATTTTAGCATTTGTTTTGATGTGCTAAAAAGAAATGCAGTGGTCTTATGGAGAAGCCAATGTCTTTTCAATCTCACTAACGTACTTTTAGAACCAGTCTAAGGCATTAGCCAAGGAAGACTATTACATGGTAAAACTTTAGATTCCCTAATTCACAGAATTATGTGAATTTTTCTCATATATTGCTCAGTATACCAAACTAGTTCATTTGACTTATACTTCATCCCTCTAGCTATGAATAAAAACCATTATGGACCTTTTAGTTGGTTATTCTGGGACTTTTTCTCATCCTCCCTCATCATTGCTACTCAGAAGTAGCACTCTCTAAAGAGGTGAGTGAAAGGGGACAGTTGAGCAATTATGAGTTTAGCAAAGAAGACAGTTAACTAGATAACTATATACCTTACGTTTGAGTCAAAATATTTGGTGAAAGTACAGTGAACAAATTATCAGAAAGTGAGGAAGACTTAATATCATCATATTATGGTTTTTAACTGTATATTTATCATCTGAGAATAAACTTTTATATTCAAATTATATTACATTTTTATACTGCTGCTACTACTAAGTCACTTCAGTCGTGTCCGACTCTGTGCGAGCTCATAGATGGCAGCCCACCAGGTTCCCTCGTCCCTGGGATTCTCCAGGCAAGAATACTGGAGTGGGTTGCCATTTCCTTCTCCAATGCATGAAAGTGAAAAATGAAAGTGAAGTAGCTCAGTCATGTCTGACTCTTAGCAACCCCATGGACTGCAGCCTACCAGGCTCCTCCATCCATGGGATTTTCCAGGCAAGAGTACTGGAGTGGGGTGCCATTGTGCTGGTTTATAGATAACATAGGCTAAATGAGTGTTTACTGAATGCTGGCAAAAACACATCTCTCAGGTAAAATACAGTTAAGATTATAGTCGAGTTCTGTGTAAGGAGTACTAAGGTAATCTGAATAATTCTAGGATTAGTCATTGACTTTGAGATTTGAAAATCTATAAGAAAAATACACACACAAAACAATTAGTTCTGTTGCTAACCATGCAAGAAGTGCAAACAACTAGAATTTAGAATCCTTCTGAAGAACCTTCATTAAGTCTAAATATGTACATTGTCTCCCATCCTATTGCTATTGTGTCACTGGGTCATGTTACAAGAGAAGCCATCAATAATGTCACTATGAGTGACCCTGTGAAAACCTACCATTTGGCAGATATCTGCTGTCATTACTAAAAAATGATGAGACCAAAAAGATGATAGAATTTGTGGCAAAAAAGAAAATAGCTGAAGTTCTTTTTTTTAAAGCACTGAACTACAGTTAATTTTAAAAAACCATATTCAAGCTTCAGCCCTTGGAGAGGAGCCAAAAGAAAAGTCATGACTCTTGGTAAGTTTGGTGTAAACATAGGCCCTAGGCCCTAGTGTCGGCTTCCAGACTGGTAGCAATCAGTTTGCCATAGCTTATTTATTGCCATAGCCATATTTTCTAAGATATACGTCCCAATCACGGCTCAGAAATAAACTCCCTTCTGTTGCATTTCTGCTTTTGTTTGTCATTTCCCCTCCAACCTGTCAAATCTCACCTAACAGTTGGTATTACATGACTATCTTCATTTTATCCTTAAACAAACCTCAGCTACATTAAAGAGTTTGTACATGGAGACTTTGGAAGAACCAAGCCAAACATTGGCTCTCTGATGGAGGTGACTGCAGACATTCTTGAGCTGGATGTTGAGGTAAACCATTTTATTGTGGAAATGCCTGTTTACACACTGAGTTCAACCAACATTATGCTCTTGAAGCACTAAGCCATATAGTACTGTTCACTTTGATATTTGAAATTGGTCTCGTTTATGATTTTTACAAATATATAGCTAATTGACTAACTGTGCTTTACATATGACATGAGACCCTTGAACCATGCAAGGAAAGAAAGTTTTCAGCGCCCTTCACGTATCCTTTGGACTCTTTTGTAGAGAATTAAAACAGCCTACTCAGAAACAAGTAGGGATAGAAAATGGGATGAGTCAATAGTTATAAATAAAAGCAGTGCCATGAGGCTTCTATGATACGGTATAAAAGAAATTCTCCATTCATATCATCTGAATTGAAATCAGATTACATTCTTAATTAGAAGGATGGAATGAATGGATCTTTCAGGAAATTCTCCATAAATATTTTCCTCATTTGAGCACCAATAGGTATTGAGTCACAAGTTGTGCACTTTGGTAAATATCTGATTAAAAACAGCCCCCCAGCCCACAATAAAAGGGAGGGGGGCAATTTTTGCACTTGGGAATCATCTCAGTATAAATGAAAAGATGTGGGTATAATTACCTGGTGTGAAAACAGCCATGTAATCAAATGATCACTGGAGCATTTTTACCTTACCAGCACTTCCCTTGAGTTCTTTCAAGTTAGATTTTATACACCTCCTGTGGGACAACCAGTGATAGCACCTTGAGGGTTGCAGGGAATCTTCTTAGTAAGACTGTCATTTTCAGGAAGACAATCTTCTCCTAAAGAAAATTCCAGATGCATTCATCTTCTTTGACCTTAATTCTTAGGATAGCTTAGGAGTGTCAAAGAGCCAAAGGCCAGAGTTTCTCAGCCTTGACTGTCCACTGCAATCACCTGTAGAACTTTAAAAACCCAATAAATATGCCTACTTTCCCCTGCCCTCAACACATACAAGATATTGTGATCAGTAATGTTTGGCTTTCAGGCTTGAAAAACCACCCATAAATTTATATATAGGTGTTTGGTCTATGGCTACTCTCTGAAATGAAACCAAAGTATATCTTGGCATTTGTAAAAGATACAGATACACACAATACTTATTTGGGCTTTTCTAATAAAAATTCCCAAGTCTTGTATTGACTCATAGATTAACTTAAAAAAATAATTTTTAGTAAGTAAGTCATTCAGGTTTTACACTTTAGGTCTTAAAAAACAATGTGGGCATGGTAGTTTTGTTGTTGTTTGCTTTTTGTAGTTTTTGTTTAACTTCTAAATTAGGCCCTCTAGGTAGTTAAGGCAAAAGGCAATTTCATACTTCTAATGCCTGGGACATGATGTTTTATGTGGAGACTAATAGTCTGCTACTGTAATTCCATTATAACTTAAAAGATCAAGGTTTTGTTCTAGAAGAGCCAAACCAGGATGAGTAGAGATAGATAAATTCAATATTAAAAGAAACAAAAATTCTATTAATGTGAATGCAAAAATTTCTAATCCTTTTCTAGTTTCAGGTGATCTTTCATAATGATTTATTTCACATTTAGTTGCTAAGTTACAAACAACATTGTAAGTATAAAAACTACTTTAAATGTACTACTTTATTAACATTTATTTAACATTATTTAACATTATAAGTATAAAAACTCCTTTAAATGTAGTACTGTTAGATGCAGGATGGGAAAATGAAGACTAAAAGTTGCTGAGACTTTTGAGGGGAGGTTGGTATTGCCCCCTGCATTCATTCATTTTCCCATAAATAACATTTAAAAAATTTAAATATACTCTTGACTTGTTTATAAATATACTCTAAACTTGTTTTGATCAAAAAATATGATTAATAACTGACTGAGTAACCAAATACTCAGTGAATTCAGGAAGAGACCTCAAGTCCAAGAACCCCAAGTCCTAGAGTAGATTTTAGAGTGTTAAATTGTGATGTTCTATGGCTGTTTTCTTCCAATGCAGTTTCCTCTGTTGCATTATATTAAAACTATTAAATATATACAGCATTACCAGTAAATGCTTACTAGAACAATAACGTGTTAATGACTTGTTTTCTTCCTTCTAGTCTGTAGATGTTGACTGGCCCCCTGCTCTGGATGACTAGCTTTCAGATTTGGAAACAAAGAGTAGGCTTTTCCAGCTCAGCATGGACGTCCATCCAGCATACACTGTAAAATGGCTGTTTTTACCCACCATTAGGGTGTCTTGGAAATCATCTGGATCATGTTGATCTATATATTTTTAAATTTAAACATCTCAGGATCTATCTATATGTATAATTTGTGTTGAATTATTCTAAGGATGTCTTACGATTTTTCTCCAACCCCCAACAAGCCAAATTATGAATAATGAAACCATTCATTTAGAGTTACAAAAACAGGATACATTCTGATAATCTGAGAAGTTCTAATTTCATTCAGCAAAATTTCCCTCCATAGGATAGTTAAAATCATGTTTTAAATTTTTTAAATGATCTTGATAAAAGTTACTTCTAGATTTATACAGCACAGTATCCTTATAATATTCTAGGATATCAAATGAAAATCTGACATCATTCATATTTTTCCCAGTAAGCTTCAAGCAAGCTATTACCAATAGAAGTACTGTTTTGGTATGATTTGTCAAAATCTTAATGACTCCAAGTTACTATTCTGACAATCTAGAATTGTCAGTATGTTTCCTGGGGGAGAGGAAGTAACACCTTAGGTATTGAGGCCTACCATGATAAGAGACTTTTAAATGAGGAGACACAAGTGCCTTCAATGACTTTAATCCCAGGGATAAGATTCTGAAAAACTGACTTCCTAAACAAAGGTAAGCTGATATTATTCCAGAGTGCTTCAATATATTATATAATTGCAAACATCTTCATCAGGTAGATAAGAGTATTATCATCTCCACTTTATAAATATGAAAACCAAAGAATAGAAGTTAACTGATTTATCTAAAATTCATCTAAAGTTCCATATCTGGGACTAGGACTGAAGTTTCCTGGTCGCTAGGGTCCTTTCTAAAAAACCTTATTATTGAGCACCTCCTACATGAAGGAGGCACCTAGAATGTCATTTTAATGCACATAACCATGAGAACTGACTTTTGGAATTTAGACACCAAATCAAGGTTACAAAAAAATAGCCCAAGTAAATTTCATGTGAGCTCATATGATTACCATTTGTTAATTAGTTAATCATCAGTTGGTACTCCGAAAAGGAAAATCATTAAATAAGCACAACCTAAAGAAAATGGATGGACCATTAAGAAAAAAGTTTCAGAAAGGCGTCTCATTAAAATTTCAGATATAAGTGCAATTTCCATCACCATGATTCAACTTTCTGAACTTATTTTGGAACACGTGTGACTTGGATAGTATGGATTACTCAGTTTCCCATCTCTACATTAAACATGCTTTAGAACTACCCTTGTGGTACAGTGGATGAGAATCCTCTTGCCAATGCAGGGGACATGGGCTCAACCTCTGGTCCAGGAAGATCCCACATATCACGGAACAACTAGCCCACATACCACAACTGCTGAGCCTGTGAGCCACAACTACTGAAGCCCAGGAGCCTAGAACCTGTGTTCTGCAACAGGAGATGCCACCGCTATGAGAGGCCCATGCACTGCAATGAAGAGTAGCCCCTGCTCACTGCAACTAGAGAAAGACCATTCACAGCAACAAAGACAAATAAAAAAACAGAAAAACATGCTTCAGAGATACTAAGTTGTATCATTAACCTTAGAAATCAGGAAAATGCTTCAACTGACATGAAAAAATTTCATGTGAATGAAAGTGAAAATCACTCAGTCATGTCTGACTCTTTATGACCCCATGAACTGTCCATGGAATTCTCCAGGCCAGAATACTGGAATGGGTAGCTGGCTCCTTCTCCAGGGGATCTTCACAACCCAGGGACTGAACCCAGGTCCCCTGTGTGGCAGGCAAATTCTTTACCACTGAGCCACCTGGTAACAGCAAATAACTTTTTCATTGTTCGCAATGCCAGAAAATGAGAAAGGGATAATAGAAATAAACTTGTGGTAAAAACATAAGAACTTTTGTGTGAATGTTTCTCAATTTCTACGGAAATTTTGCTACAAGAGAGATTTAAATAATTTGATAAATAGTCTCTTGTAGGTTTCTTCTTGACTCAGCTTTGAATTTAGTAGATCTGCAAATGGAAGAATTAAGAATCTCCTTAGCAATTATTAGAAGACTTCTTATACTTACTATCCTGGGATTATATAAAATTTCAAGAGGAAACAGCTGTATATACTTATTCCAACTATTCATGAGACAGGTTGTTGAAAATTAATGTAGGTCTTTGTTTAATTAGAACTGAAAACATTAAGTAATAAGAGTGCAATAGTTTTTTGCCTATATAAAAATATTTTAAAATTAGCTTTGTGATCTACTATAACTTGTTTAAATGTTTGTTTTTTGTTTTTTTTTTAGTAACACTGAAGAGAAAGGGCCCTTTGTACTTTAAGTATCTCTTTGTCCCAAATACAGTCTTGTTCCCTTTAAGAAAAACACTGAAGAGCTGGAAAAGTGAAAAAAAAAAATTGATAAAATGAAAAATTTCCCAAGTAAGATAAGTGGTTTCATTTACACATCATGTGAAATCAATTTAGAAGTTAAATTTGTTTCTGTAAAAAGCATCTTATTTAAATAGATCTTTTCTTATGGGGTTCTGTTCTTTGATTTTTAACTCCATATAAGAAAATGAACTTTGATTAAGCTTTCCTGTGTTGATTTTTTTAAATGATAGCCTTTATTATTATAGAGAAAATACAATTTATAACATTTTTCAATTTTTTCATTTTGAAATAATTTCAAACTTGTAAGAAAAGTACAAAGACTGTTTTTTCCTGAAATATACCACCTCAAATACACTAGGTGTGTAATTCCTACAAATAAGGACAAATTCTAACAAACAAGGACATTCTTCTAGTTCATCACAATGTAACTATCAAAATCAGGAAATTAACACTAATATTACTATTTTTTTAACTTTTATTATTTATATATTTATTTATTTGCCTGCACTGGGTCTTAGTTGCAGCATGCAGTATCTTTTTGGTTGCCACACGTGAGATCTATAATTCCAAGATGTGGGATCTTTAGTTGTGGCATGCAAACTTTTAGTTGCGGTGTATGGAATCTAGTTCCCTGACCAGGGATTGAACCCAGGTCTCTGCTTTGGGAGCATGGGAGTCTTAGCCCCTGGACCACCAGAAAAGTCCCACTAATACTACTATAAATTAATCCACCCACCCGGCTCAAGTTTCACCAGTTGTTCCAACTATGTCCTTCATAGTCAGGAATGACACTCTGCATTTAATTAAGTTTCTTTCATCTTCACCAACCTGATACAATTTGTCTTTCCTTGATTTTTTTTTTCCTTTGTATCACATTTATCTTTTTATTTATTTATTTATTTTTTTAGAGTTTTACTCCCCCCCCCCCATTTATTTTTATTAGTTGGAGGCTAATTACTTTACAATATTGTAGTGGTTTTTGCCATACATTGACATGAATCAGCCATGGATTTACATGTGTTCCCCTTCCCAATCCCCCCTCCTGCCTTTCCTTGATTTTCATTACTTTAATGTTTTTGAGGATTTCAGGCTATTTTGTTGACTATTCCTCATTTGGGCTTGCCTGAAAGAAACTGAAAACTGAGTTTATACCAGTACTTCCAACTCCAACCTTTTTCTAGTTTCTCCCTTATAATTAGGTTTAGCTTGCACCTTTCTAGCAAGAATACCCACAAATGGGAGATTACTGTCTTATATCCTCTCAGATGTCACATGATTTGATACCTGCAGTTACTGGTGACTGGGCTTTGATCAGTTAATGAAGGTGATGTGTGCCAAGCTCCTCCAATTTTTTAGTTAACCCTTTTTTTTTCTTTAATAAGTATCTTGTAGGGAGACCATCAAACTTTTCATTCACTAGTTTTAGCATTTATTGAAGACTTTCACCTGAACCAGTCACAATGATTGTTAAATGATTTTCTAATTCCATCATTCCTTTACATTTACTGGTTGGTGATTACACTGAATCCACATCCTTCTTGGGGATTCATGGCTTCCTATTTTATTTGATGGTTTATAATTTCTTACTGGCATTTATTTTTATTTCTAAGTGTTGACTTGGCCAGTGGATACCCCTTCAAGCTGGCTCCTTTGTCCTTCTGACATATCCCCATCATTCCTAAAGCATGTTCTTACTTTCTAATACAAAGACATTCCAGGCTTATCTTGTATTTCATCTGCAGCCCTGAAATGGCCATTTCTCTAAGAAGAACTGGTTCCTTTTCATGGAAAATGATGGAAAAAAGATGTGCCCATTGCTACTGTGGCATTGCTGCTCCCAAAGCCCTCTCATGGCGTGCATGTGTGCACATACACCTATATATTTACCTACACATACTATGAGCTTACACCAGTACTTCCAATTCCAACCTTCTTCTAGTTTTCTCCCTTTCCTTATTTGCAGTTCCTTTCTGACAGAAATCTGGCTCCCATTAGCCTTAACATTTTACTTAATAGATCATTCCCCTTAATAAATAACCAATCTTCTATTGCCACACCCTTATACAAGATCGCTGAGATTCCCCTCCCTCCTCCCCTCAAATGTTCCTCGGCTCCACACTGTAATCCCACACTGGGCCGGCACCTTTTCTCCCTGTGGCAGATGTAACTCTTACCTTGCGCAGAATAAGCAAATGATTTTTGTTCTGAATTGCTGAAGAAGGGAGAGACACAGGGAAGCAAATAAGGCAGAAAGGCAGAAAATGAAAATCTTTTAAGAAGGCATTTTGGTACTACACAGAATTATCATTTTAAAGGACAGTTACATATGCAAATATATTCAGCTATAGCATTCCATAAAAATGTCTAATGTTTCTAAGCAACCAAAACTGCCTTCTTCTGTAAGGCGTATGCTATAAATATAAGAAAATCTCAAATGTTTTAAAAGTCAGATAGCAAATTTTTGTAACGGCTTTAGAATTTTTTCCATTTATTATCAAGAAAAAAAAATCACTGTATACAAGATATTACAAAGGTAATAAAATATTCTGTACAAAAGACATTTTG